ATCTGACTGTATTTAGTGAACGTGTAAGTTACTGGACCTTGCTTACTTTAGAATGCGGAAGTTTAGAGGATCTCATTAATAATTTCCATTGAAACAGAGTTCTGCTAATTATTTTCTGAGCAGCAAATGAAACAGTAATAGTACTTACTTTCTATAAATGGAAAGAGGAAGTACAAGACTGCCAAGTTATTGTAGATCAAACATCAGCATATTATCTTGCCACTTTTGATTGCATTGTTGCATAAATCTGGACCTTTGATCTACGAATAAGTTTAGATTGGATTGGCCATCGTAAGTTTCCTGTTTCATGTTATTTTTCCTATGTCTTCTGTATCAAGCATCGTATTATTGGTAATTGGCCTTAAGGACTATTCATTCCCTTCTATTTCAGTCATTCCATTTCTGAAAACTTTGACACTGCAGTACTGAAACTAAATACACTTGCAAAAATCAGGATTACTAGTTACAATTTTTTTCCTCTTCTTGGTAGGTGAACTGTTCCCTTCAGCCACCAGCTCCAGGGGAAAATCCACCAGATGACAGTTATTGAGGCTGTAAGATGAAGTTTTGCTTCTTACCTCTTAGTGAGATATATAATTGCCAATGTGTATATTGAATTACTCAGTCATTGTGGTAAGTTTTGTTGTTATTGGCGCGGAAGAGCTGTCAGACACTGCAATCCTTTTTCATGGTGGTGTAGAAGTCTATTAGTTGAATTGCAAGAGCTGTTCATGGATGCCAACAAAGTCCTCAGCCCACCGGAACGAATTTTTTTTTTTTTTCGGAAGGTGGAACTTACTTTTATTATTGTGTGGCTGATTAAGCAAATATTACAGGAAAGCCAAAGTGGGGTTGATCAAGTAGTCAGAAAATAACTTGGCTCAAATCCAGATTTGATTGTTCTCAATTAAAATGATAAGTTCTTTTTTCGTTGATCTGGAATTAGGATGACAAGTTGAAATGAACCCGAAAATGGAACCAATTTTAAAAAGTGTTTCCAGAGAGTTTTCCCAGAAAGCTGAGTGTTAAGTTAGAATATTAACAGATTGACTAATTGGACTAATTGATAAAACTGTAGGAGGTTGTTGGCACTCAAGAACAGTTCCAGGTACTCCATTCCTCCATTCTGTTTATTATGATGAACCACGTTTGTGCTATTAGAGTGATTGAAGGTGTTCTTGGAGAGTCGGTATGTGTATTGATGAAATTCTCTTCTTAAAATTTTGCTGTAGATTTACTTGATGCACTGGATTGCCAAAAAAAGTTGATGATGCCTAAAGTAAATCTCAAGTGTTAACTCAGGAGGTCAGTTTAGACCGGGAGATCAGCCATATTAATTGAGGTCAGAAGGCAAGGGTTGAATGTTTCTTGAGGCAAGGCAACGGCTAGATAACCACGAGAGGTTCTTAAAGCGTTAGGAAGCTATAATTAAGGTTCATAATCTCAACCAACCAAGATTTTTTCCTATTATCAAGGAGAATCTCACGAAATAAGGACAAAAATTTCGGTCAAGATTCCACTGAATAGGGAACAACCCTATAAATACTATGTAACGCCCCCAAGAAAGAGGGGGACCCTAAAGGCAAAAATTAACCATTGTACTCTTGCAATCATCATTATTGAAAGACAAGGAGCAAGAGTTTCCGTTAAAGAGTGGATTAACCAAGCTCTCAAGCTAATGAACCACTATATTTTTTCTATGTTAATCCTCCTGACTCTTAGAAAAATATTTTTTTCATTATCACAACATCATCACTGAAAAAACATAATCACGATTCATTACTTATACAATTGGAGTTATGCCATTAAAAGTAAAAAGAAAATTTAGGGCCTTTTTCCTCGCGGAACGAAAATCTTATTATACTCTCCTTTTGCAGGGAAAATAAATGAAGAATTGTGCAATATTCATGGAGTAATTTCACTTTAGTTGTAGCTTGCCTCAAAATTTGCAACAAAAAATTGTTGCAAACTTTGTTTTTGGAAAGAGTGAGATGATCTATTAAGTTGATAACGATTCTATTTTTTCATTATCAGTCCCCCCTTGGCTCTTTTTTTTTGGGGTGGGGGGTTGTTGTCATGCCGCGATGAAATTGGATCTTGGTGACATATGTGTATGATATGATGAACTGTTAAGAGAATCTTTCTGTTGGTATGTTTATATCAATCTTGAATGCCTTATAAAAAGTTATATCTTCTAGGTCTTGTTTTGTCTTAATAGAATCACTAGCCAACAACCTTTGTTTTGCCCCTTTTCTGTAAGGCTTATGACCCTTATGATTTTCATCGGTACATATACTTTATGGGGCTATGCATTTTATAGGGTATGAGCGTTGTGTGACTCTAGTCGTGTCGTTCGCCTAATTAGTGGGGGAGACATGGATGTATGCGATTGGTGAAAGGAAAGATCTCTTGAAGGGATAGTTGAACCTATTAAAAATATGACAATTATTAATGAGTTGGAAAGAAAATTAGGCTAGATTTTCTTCCCTAAGCTTAGAAAGGAGCTGTTCGCCTGATTTTACTATTCTCCTCTCTTGTGGAAATGAAAGTCTTTTTCTCGAATCGACTTTCCATCCCATTGTTTGAGTAAAAATACAGGGTATATGAATTTAATATAGATATAAATTAATCTTAGAACTTAAGACAGGTTACTCGAAGAAAGAAGACACAAAACTCATAAAGACAAACATAAAGGAAGAAAGAAGACACAAAACTCATAAAGACAAACATAAAGGAAGGAAATAGAAAAAATAGTAGGAAAGGGGAAGGGACTTGACTCCCTTTCACTCCGCTCTTCAAGCTTTCTGCATCATCAATAGCACGCTAGCACAAGTTTTTCTTCCTTCTGCCCAGCTCTTTGAAAACAATGTTGAACTTGCATGTGTTAAACATATGGTTAGTGTTCCTTCTAAGTCAGGATCAAATTCTTCTTTTGAGTATGAAAAAAGAAGAGAAAAAGGGAATGCATTGAGACGGCGAATATGACAACTATATTTTGGCATTTTTCTGCATGAGATTAGATTAGTGTACTGTACCAACAGATAATAGAACTAAGCTGGTCTAAAAAATGCTTGAAAGAAGATCTCCGCTCATTTCAAACCCACCAACAAACAAAAAGGGGGCTAGGGAAGGTCGATGACTATATGAGGAGTAGCTTTGCCCTTTACTTTACAGAGATTGTTATGAGCAGATTAAATGTTTAGATTTCAATTACTTGTTTATAATATGATTTTTAATTTGATAATCCAATAATATCAAGCATTGATGTTAAATTTAATTTGACAGAGAAGTTCAATTGCGTTAATGGAAAACTATGTTTTTTCCATGTCATACCAATCCAAAGAAATAATAATCTCTTCCCTACTCATATAACTTGAATTGGGTTTTATATCTGCAAAATTGTATTTTCCTCCCAGACCCCTATTATTATTATTATTAAATACTAAATTGGGTGCTATTTTTTATCTTTGAAATTTTATCTATCATTTCCTTTTCTAAAATAGCTTGTTAAGCTTTTTAAATCATTAAAAATCTACTTATTCTCTCTATTTTTGTACTAGCCAAGACGCCACACACACAACTTATTAGACTAAAGAGAAGGATGGCCCATGATCAGTAACCCATAAGCCCAACGGACTCACAACTAATCCAATTGGCCTGCCACCTACCAATGCTTTTTTGGAGGGTAATTAACTCTCTCTCTCTCTCTCTCTCTGTATACGCATTATATGTGTGTATAATATATCAGAACCTTCATGAAAAGGAAGGAATATATGTTCAGCATGCACTGCAGAAACACAATGCTTCCCTTCATGGAGGGAATCGAAAGTTAGAAGCTTGATCTCAAGACCACTTGAACAGTTCACCTACATTAAGACAGACACCCACTAGAAGGTTTTTCACCTTTGGCTGCTAAAACTTCAATCAACCTGAACTTACCAACATGATTATAAACTCAGTTATTTGAAGTCTTGGGCTTTATAGATTCTTGAAGTTTCATGCTTTTTTTTTTTTTTTTTGTTAGAAAAAAATTATTATGGCATCAAAGCTTTGATCACCAAAATTTCCCAAACTTTTGAGAAGAAGGGAAATGCTTGCTTCTTTAGGTTTTTGAACTATCATACCAGCTTCAAACTACAAAACTGTTCTTCACATATAAGAGATCATTTGAGAACAGATTGTGATTACTGGACATTGTAACTCAGGTTTTCCATTGTTTTCTCCAAATCTGAATGTTTAAATGTGAAATTTTTCAAGGAAAAATAGTTCTTGAGGTAGTTTACAGCAATGTTTGAGCAAAATTAGTCATGTGCACCGAATTAGCTGTCTGTAAAAAAATATATTTACATCAGAAATACATATTTACTGGGTGTCTGAATAGTTTCAATGGACCATTTTTCCAGAAATTATGAGAAAACTTTTCTGGGGAAAGACTAATTCAATATAAGAGTTTTTTTTTTTTTCTCAAAAAGCAAAATAGCAGATTTTTTTTTTCCCATTATATCAAATATTAGCCTGTTTAGGGGACACTAAGATGGATGAAAAAAGTTTGGAAGCTTTCTAGAAGGCGGCTATTGGGAAAAATGCCCTAGAATGATTTTGCCTGGACATTATGAAAAGAGCCAACTAATGTAGTAAGGTTGTAATGCTTGTCTTGTTTTTTATTTTTGACTAATATGTTATTGTGTCCCTAGAGTTACAGAGATTGTTATAAGCTGCTGGCCTCATGGAATTGGGTTGGTTCCTCTTTTTTGTTTGTGCATAATGATGCACATCCCCCATTTTTGAGCGGGTGTCAAACGTGAGGGAGGTGCTGAGAGCTTGATATGCAATGTTTGCCGTTGGGCATATTCTGTTGCTTTTAGAATAGTTGATAGTGTGACTTGTAATTGCTGTTTGTGTTGCTTACATTTTCTTTTCTATGTGATTTCGTTGATTTTAGCAAATCATGTGATCCCTCTGTTTGCCTAATGCTGAAGGGATAGCTACTCTACATTTCGATGGCTGATTGCTCTCACAGTGAGGAGCTACAAAGACGGCTAGAGCAGTTCCAAAGTCAATCCAGACTTGTTGTTAGCCTTATGAATGAGATAGATTACAAGAATGGAAAACTGATACATATGGAGTGCAAGATGGACGAGAAGGATATGCTGATCAAAGCATATAGTGAAGGTATGCAACATTCTAAAAATACTTTACTTCTTTATGAACGGTAAACTAAAATGAAGACTGCTGTTTTAGATTTCAGTTGTTACTAATGTTGAAACTGGGATTTTGATTGAAGTAGAAAGGTCTTGAATCCATGTTTCATGAATGGTAATGGGTTACTTAGACAATTCCTTAATGATTTTACTGATCAATTATGTATAGTAATGCAAATTTTCTGTCAACTGAAAGTGTCTAATACCGGCGATTCGTGACTGCTAAACACACATCATGCATGTCACTATTCTCAAGAACTTTCAAAATTAAGGCCCCTTTGTTTTATGATCAAAAGATATTAAAGAAGGTTTATATACTAAGAATGGTCTGCTATCACTTATCAAGACAAAGTTTGAATAAACACTTGCATACACATGGTGAGCCTTCAAAAAGATCTTGGTTAGCTTCTCGGAATTATCTAGAGACATTAGTGGCCAAGGATAGGACTTGAACATGCTAAATTGAATTTCTTAACATCCAAAAAATGCCCTTCTAAATCAAAGCATACTCAATTCAGGAACACTGCTCTGTATATTCTGTTTCTTTTCTACAGACCTTTCTTGCAAATCAAACTTCCTCACCGCCACCCCTCTCCCAAACACACGAACAAGAGAGAGAGAGAGAAGGGAACATGGCTAGAAAGAGAGAAATGATAAATATTGGCGGGGTGACAAGTAGGATTTAATCCTTTCCTGTTAGAGGGTGACATAGTTCCTACATGTTTAAAATATAATCATCTTAAACACCAAAAAGATGGATCCTTGACGATGCATTCATATTGCATGCTCCTCTGCTTATATGTTTCTGTGTTATCAGTAGTTGGAAGTAAATATTGATTAAACTGATATTTAGAGTACTTCTGTTCACACATCTACAACATGACATAGAAGAAAGGACCATTGTACTATTGTTTGTCCCCCTTATCATTCTAACTTGCAGAGTGTTCGGATTTCCTTGGCAATTTTTTTCAACTTCTTGTCTCGTATTCAACAGTTTTCCCAGGAGTGAAAGAGATTCAAAGCATCAAGCGAGAGAATGAAAAGCTGAAGAATGAAATGGAATCTCAGAGAACAGAATCTGAGTTGCAAGTTAAAGTATTGGGGGAGCGTGAGTACAATATGACCTGGATCAAATAAGTTAGTGTGAAGTTCATTGATTCTTTTTAGTCTTCTTAAATCTTTAACTTCCAAGTTTTTCTTTTTTCGGTAATGATTTCTCTTCTTAGTATAACACTTAACTGGTTTATACGTAACTAGCACAAATGGAATCTCAGGGATGAAAGAGATGCAAAGCATCAAACAAGAGAACGAAAAACTGACGAATGAAATGGAATCTCAAAGGACAGAATATGAGCAGCGTATTAAAGAAATGGAGGAGCGTGAGTACAAACACAACCTAGAGCCAAAAAAGTTAATTCTGTATTGTGTTTACCTTTCACTTTATTCTATCTTTCCATTCAATGTAGTGTACTCCTAAGGGAAGTATGCTTAACTTAGGACAAACTCTGCTGCGCGTTTACATTTGCTTTTCAATCTTTCTTCCAAGATATTGTCTCATCCTCTAATATGTTCCAGGATTGGGAGAGTCGCAATGCATCAAACAAGAAAATGAAAAAATGAAGAATGATACAGGATTTCAAAAGACGGAGTTTGAGCCTGCAGTCAAAGAATTGGATCACATGTCTAAGTATGATCTGGATCAGAAACAACTAATGGCTGAGAAGGATGAAGTAAGTATGTCAGTACTTCATTGAAGTATTCTTCAGATATCCCTTGGGAGGAAATTTTTCTCTTAAGTTTTGGATTACCCTGTTATTTCCGGCCAATCTCTCTTGTCATTTAATGAACATCTTGCATAAGTGTTGTCCCTTGTGAAACCAACTGTCTGGTGCAAGTCCATTTAGTGGTCTGTAAATTTAGTATTCACAAACTGAATTTCCACTTGATAAATCCATAAGAAATTATTATATGTCCATTTGAGAGACAAGAAATGATTTTCGGATTGTAAAACTAAATGCAAACTCAAATCAGTATGCAATAGTACCCTCCCTAGATGTAATCCTGGCTACACCGCCAATGAGAACGCATGCTTGTTGATGTCTCAATCTCATTTTAATTTCCTATATGTTCTTCTAGTTTGTAATTTTGTTTTTTTCCAATGCAAGATCTTTCTTGAACTTTTTTATGATTGACTTACCGGTGACGTACTACTGGAGCATATGCAGTGGAAGGAAAAGCTGAAAGATCTACAATACGAAATTGATCACATGAAGAACGACTATCAGACTCTGATGCTAAAAGAGCGCATAAGTAATGATGAGCTACAAGATGCTCGCAAAGCAGCCATAGAAGTAAGAATTTACCTATCCCCTTTATTACTTTGGTTGTGTACTATCAATAATCCGATATCTTTATGCATGCTTCATGAAGATGATCAACAGCATGAGTTCCCTTTTTTTTTCTCATGCTGGTCTTGCAAGATATGCTGAACAATCGCACAGTGCTTGGGATTAAAAGAATGGGGCAGGTTAATTGGAAACCTTTTTGGGATATTTGCTCGCAAAAGTACTCTGGTGGAGACTGGGAGGATCAATCTGCTAAACTTTGTTCATTGTGGGAAGAAAATGTTAGGAATCCACACTGGCAACCTTTTAAGAAAGTCAAAATCAATGGAAGACTGCAAGTATGTTTCTCTACAGTGTACATATGTTTTCATACATCACAAAAAAATATAAAAACATGTGAAACCCATCCAATGTGAAATGGAATGGTGATTTACTCATGACATTTCCAAATTCTTTATGGAATAATATTTTGACATTTGGTGAGTAGATTTTAGTCTCAAATAAGTGCAGGAGATAGTAGATGAAGATGATGATAAACTGAGAGACTTAAGAGTCGAAGGGGGTGAGGACGTATGCAAGGCTGTGACGGATGCATTGTTGGAACTAAACGAGTACAATCCAAGTGGAAGGTATCCAGTACCTGAAATTTGGAATTTAAAGAAGGGAAGGAAAGCCAGTCTGAAAGAGATCATTGAGTACATAATCAAGCAATGGAAGACACATAAGCGCAAAAGGATGAGGATCTAAGATTAGCATTGGGACTTATCTTGTAAGTCTTTTTCATTTCAATTGACAAAGTTCACAAGCTTCATATAAGTTTCCTTGCTCACTTTACACAGCCAGGTCTTAAAATCTACTGTGGACAATCTCACCTATCAAATTAACAGGAAATAATCATAGACAATCTCTGGGATACTACTGGGGGAGGAAGCTATGTGAAAATGGTTTATGCGTCTTTATTTTTTAAAGGTTCTAGGTAGGAGAAGGTTGTTTTAACTTTTAAAATGGTTTATGTTTTCTATGGTTTAATGGCGTTTAAATAAGTAAAAACTACACTTATCATCCCTCAACAAATATGCAGTTTCTGTAAATTGATTACCATGTGCCATGAAACAAAGTAGCATCCATGTAAATTGATTACAAACATCCATGTACCTAGATCCCCAATGGGTAGTTCATGTTGGTTTTTTTTTATGGAGTCTAGTTTGTATATGTGATCCGGATGATGACCCGACCCGAAGTAATGTTGTGTGGTTTTTTAATGGAAAATTTTCTGAGGCTTAGTCCATGGCCCAAGCCGTAGCGCTGATGGACAAGCCTCGTGGGCCCATTATATAGCCTAGTGCGTAGGACATATAAACTCCGTTGTTTTGGTGATTAGGGTTAATCGTGGATTGTATAGCCGCTCTCTGTATTCAACTCTCTCAATAGTGAAATCTCTGCAGCTTCGTGGACGTAGGCAAATTGCCGAACCACGTAAAATTTGTGTCTTGTTTTTTTTTGTTTGTTATTGCTTTATATTCTTGATTTGTTCTTCGATTGTATGTGTTTGTTAGTGAATTTAAATCGTGTTAAATCCCAACAGTTCATTTAGCATATAAATTGTGGTGATTCCCTGATCAAAATATGCACTTTTCATGGAAATCAGACAATTGTGTTCCCCTAAACTAAGGCAGGCTTGTGGTGGGCATCGATAAAATTTCACGCCATTAGTTTACAGAGAAAGCCAATGAAGGGATTATTACGGAGGACTAAATTTTTCCTAGTTAAAGGTGTGCTCAAGGAATAAGGAAGGCCAAAAAGATATTGGGATTAGGTCAGTAATAAAAAGCTTGGTCGCTTATTGTTTATTATTCAAATGGAAATTACGGCCCATTATGCAAGAGGGATTATATAGCTGCCAAGGTGGCAAGTATTTTTATGAGCTGAGAACAATTTTTGTTGTACAAATATATGATTATAATGCATGATATTGAACACAGCACATAAATCAGTCATCGTACGTGAAATTCCAAGTCATTTTTTGGACTTGAACTGCTATCGTTCGTAAAAAACTATGATCATGAACATTCAAATAGACATAAGGGCTATTATTACTGTTCATTCTTATGGTTTTAGTGCTTCTATAGAGCCTAAAAGATCATACGAAAATGATGGGATGATGACAGGTTACTACTTTGTATGCAGGTGCTGAAAGGGATCTATACAAATTTTACATTTAAGCAGTTTGTGCACAAGATCTTTCATCCGATTTGAGGAAGTTGTGAGGAGAAACAACAGGTACCTCATATATAATTGTGTAGGATCCAAAGTTATTAGGGGCATTAGAGCAGGTGATCCACCTTGTTACTATTATCTGAGTTCAAGCCAGTTCACTGGTTTGTGAAAGATTAAGTTGCTGTTGATTATTATATGGTTTACCCATCTGTTTCAATACAAATTCCTGCTGTATATCCCAAATTTTAGCTATAAAATACTCTGTAAAAGCTCACAAGGACTTGTAATTCATATGAAAGATGAACCATGTTGATTCCTAGCTTCTTCTTGAGTGATGAAGCTGGTGAGGTGACTCTCAGATGTGGTTTCGCATACTATGTGCAGCTAATTTTGCGTGATATAGATGCTGAATGAAAACCACACCAAGGATCAATGTTTCGCTTGTTTCCACCGAAACGAATGAGTGAAAATAAAAATTCTCATATTTCAAAATGTTTTGGATGCTTCGACTACTTATATTGATATTGAATGCATGCTCCACCAAGGACCAAAATTTCGTTGTTTTCCACCAAAACGGAGTGATTGAAAATAAAAATTTTTATATTCCAAAATATTTGAGATGCTTCGGCTAATGTTTCAGACTATTTGGAACTAAAATCCTTTTTTTTTTTTTAATCTCCATTATGTTTTTGGAATAATTTCCAAACTTTTCCATTTCCAAGCTTATTGAAATTAGGCACAGCAAAATGTTGAACTTTGTACTCCATAAATTTCATGTTTTGAATGTGATTACTTCAGGTAGTGCTGAGCCCTCCTTTCACTCTGATTGTGCATTGGTAGGAGAGAGAGTATAGGGTTTGACATGCTGGTTTTGTTTGGTCTAGGACCGTAGATTGACAATTTTATGACTAGTAGTGTAGCTTTAGGATGTTCTATGAGGAAGACATCACTCGGAAGAGCTACGGATACCTGTCTATGAGCATTGGAGCAGTGACGAAACAAAACAGTCAACATCGAAGTTAATTTGAGGCAAGACGAAGGGTGACTTCAACAAACGGACAACCCCAAACTCATACGAAATCGTGTCTAGGTCAATTATGATGTATTTGTAGGATAGCCACACTTCTCTAGGACCAACTTGCCTTATTTTTAGAGTTGGTAATAGGCTGATAGCTTCTTGAATAGAAATGATCAACCAACATTAGGCTGGTCGACCATGGCCTGTCGACCAGCCTCGAAGCTAGTCGATCAAGTCTGCAGGTTCTAAAAACTAGCCGTTTGAACCCACCCCTATATAAACCCCTTCATGTCAACAAATGAAGGCTGATTTAGAGTCCATCCCTCTCATACACCCTTGCACAAACAACCTTTAGCCTGTCACATAGTCGGCAATAGGCCCTGGATGGAAAAAAAAATTAAATATCCACTTAGGCAAAGTTATAAATATATAATAAAGTTTATTTAGTATTTTGGTTGTAGTGGAATAAAGGTTTAAGATCTTATTTATGGATTTTCGAGGTGTCATTTTAGTAAATAGGTTGATTGTCTTTAAAAAAAGTTAAATTTGTCCATCAAATAAATTTAAATAAACACTAGAATTCCTGAAACCCCCGCAAAAAAAAAAGAGAACAAAAAAATAGAGTTATAGAAAAACCTATTTTTAGGGGGTTATGAGCTAGTCTCTTCATGAGCTTCATTTAACATGACTGTGACCGTATTTTATTTGAATTATGTTATGAGAATTTAATTTAAAGATTTAATTAGTAATTTAATTTAATATAGTTATTAAATTAATTTTTTTTAATTCAATAATCAGGGTGTCTAAGAATATATAAAAGTTACTTTCAATAAGTCCTTATATTTATATCTTCATCTTTTAACAATTTCTGGACCAAACCCAAAAAAAAAAAAAAATAAATAAATAAATAAAATATATATATATATATATATATATATATATATATATATAAGAGAGGAAACATAATTTTTCCAAAAATTAAAAAAAAGGAAAAACAAGTGCACTTGATGAATGACAAACGTAGCATGAAATTGCCATTATACCCTCCAATGACTCTGAGAGCCGTCAACAGCTATATATACGAAAACCCTAGAAGCTGAACCCTCGGCACCCTTATATATATGCATAGGATAAACAGCGGCGTGCATCGATGTTGAACACCAGTGCTCGCCTGTTAATGGAAGCAGAAGGAGGGTGGTAACCTTAATATCTCTCTCTCTCTCTAGTGGTGATCTTTCGTATGTAATCGATGGGCTTTGATTAAAAAGAGAGAGGCTTGAGTGGGGGGTTCTCTCTAAAAAGAGGAGGCTCATTTTGATTTAGGGTTTGGAGAGAGAGAAACTGAAGGAGAAAACGAAGACTACAAGGTTGATTGAGTAAAGTTGCCGCCCCCTTGGGTAAAAAAAAGGGTAGGCTTGTTGGCAGCTGATAATCATCAGATCCGTGTCTTTGTTTTCTCTATCTTCTCTTCAATTCTCTTCTTCGATTTGAGTTTTCCCCCACAATGTCAGACCTTTCCAAAATTACACTTGATATGAGCCTTTCCTCTTGGAAACCCTAGATTTTTAGGGCATCAAATACATAGTTTAATTATTTCTTGTTTGTTTTGGTTTTTGATATATTTTTGCATTTGTTGTGTTGATTCTGGGGAGATTTGTTTTTGGTTTTCTCTCTCTAGTAACAACGATGCATAGAATAAAAGCCTGATATATTTTGAATTTTTCACAAAATCGAGTTTGTAATTGAACTGGGTTTTGTGAATATTATTTTGAAGATATTCAGGTAGCGGCCAGACAACCGTAGGGATGAAGTTCCACAGATGACTAGAAATTTGGTTCTTTTCGTCTACTGACTCCATCTCACATTTCGTTTTCTTTTTTTTTTTTAAATTTTCCCAACAATAATTTGAAACCATAGATGGGTCTTGGGGAAAAATTGAAAGGGAATAATATTTGAAGGCATACAAGGGAGTACCAATAAAGTCACTAAAAATGTACATATTACCAGCCTTAAGCTGGCTGATACTGAAAGAGCAATTAACTTGGGCATTGTTAACTTGGTTCAAACAATTTATCCTGTACGACAGGTTGGAATTGGTATCCAAGGGGAGTAAAGTGATTGAAAACTGTCTGTAATTCAGGATAGTTGGTTCTTTAAGGAGCTGGAATATAGATGGGTCTTGGAGAAACCTGCATGTTTCAGAAATTACTCTGTAGATGCAGTTTGTTTTATGAAAAATGCTATTATGACTTGATTTGGGAACCTAATCAATTGCAGTTAGATTAAAAATGGCCTCTATCCAACTGTAAAACTCATACATGTTTTATTATTTAAAGCAATCGTTGCAACTAAGGTTGAGGGAGCTCAGGTTGTCAAATTTCTTGAGCTTAATTGGATTTTGGGTGACTTCTCAGTTCTCTATACAAACGCTGAACTGACTCTTGGGTTCTAGTGGTGTGCTTATTCTGAATTTAGGCTAAGCTCTTGGTTTGGGGAAACATGTCTGAAGACCCAGACATGTCCTTGTTCTGTCCAATTAAGAGAACAAGAAGCCGAGGAATAAGAATCATATACCCCTGGAACAAAGAGTAACCAGGCTCTGCTTTATTCAGCACAACAAAGAGGTTGGGAGAGTGCAGCAATCAACTTAAATCTTTGAGTAGACAGGAAAATTCTTCTAGAGCTGCAACAAAAACTGGTCCATATCCAAATTATGGAACCCATAGAGGAAAATATAATGATGGAAAGTTGAATTAAGTTTTCAAATTGACAGCATCAGAAGCAGCGAGGAAATCTTGTGACAGTAGAGGAAAGAAGGCCATTCAGCTGCCAATATCTGGAGGCAAGGAAATGAGGATTTGGCAACCTAATCAAAAGGGGGTGTACACTGTTAAATCAGGATACTTTGTGGGATCCAAAGCAAGTCATCCTCCACTAGAAACGAGCTCCTCTTTCTCCCCACACCCAAAACTATGGCGGGTCATCTAGAATATGAAAGTTGTGCCCAAGGTTAAACATTTCTGGTGGAAAACCTGTAAAAATGTCTTAGCAATGCAGGAGAACCTATACAAGAGAAAATGCGCTCCATTGCCACTATGTTAAAGTTGTAGGCACCTAGTAGAAACAATTGAGTATATTCTGTTTGAGTGTGAGTGGACCAATTTAGTTTGGTTTGGGATAGATGTGGGCTGTAGACCGGAGCTGACTTTTTTTCAAGTCAATAGCCTAAAGATCGTCTGAAATTCTTGCAACCATAGTAGATTCCTACAGGAGACTAGAAGTTTTGGGAAAGATAGCCACATTAGATTGGACAATTTGGAAGGCACGCAATCAAAATATCTTCAATTGCGAGGAGCCTAATGCCTACTCTACTGTTGTTCAAACACTATCTGTGGAATGAATTGAATGTGCTGGAAAGGGAGAATCAACCAAAGGTGCCAAATAGCTTAATTGTCAGCGATAACAGATTGCAGCCCACGCAATGTGGTGTCGTACTGAGCTGTGACAAGGCTTTCATCCAAAGAGTTCAAAGGTTGCATGTAGAGTCGTTTTAAGGGATTTTGAAGGAAATCTACTGGATAGAGCAACAAAGAATATAGCAGCAGTGTCTAGTTTATACTCAGAAGCAGCACCGGTGCAACAAGTTTGCATACTAGCAGATTCACGACGACTGACAAATACTACAATTGAAAACGACTACTTGGATGTCATCAAACTCAGCTCCACTGACAATGTTCCGCACTGGTAAATTAGCGCCTTAGTAAAATCCTATATAATAAGAAACAGATAAACGTAATTAATACTTATCCTATAAACTAGAAAAGATATATACATAACAGTAAATCATCTAAGATCAAGGAAAGAATCGGAAGAGGATTCTTCCTTATCACCCCCATTTAAGCTAATCATGGCAGAAGGAATCATGTGAAGCTTGTAACGGAAAAGTAGGAACGGAGACTTGGTGAATCCCTTGGTAAATGAATCGGCAAATTGGAGATGTGAGGGAGCAAAGGCAGCTTTTAAGGAACTATTTGCAATCAATTCACGAACAAAATGGTAGTCAATCGCAATATGCTTAGATCGAGGCCGAGTGACAGGATTAATTGCCATAAGAATAGCACTTTTGTTGTCGAATAATATCTTCGGTGGGGAAGGCAATTGATGACGTAGATCACGAAGTAGCTGAATAATCCAAGCACCTTCAGCAGTAGCAACGACTAAGGATCTATACTCAACTTCGGCACTGGAGCGAGAAACAGTGGATTGTTTCTTGGAGCACGAAGAGACAAGATTAGTGCCCAAGAAGATGACATAGTCAGTGGTAGACCGACGTGTATTAGGACACCCAACCCAATCAACATCAGAATAAACAAGTAACTCATGAGAGGGGGTGCAATGAAGTTGAAGACCATGATGGATCGTGCTTTTAACAAAACATAATATGCGTTTGAGTGCTCGAAAATGATCTTCAGTTGGAGCATGCATGTACTGGCAAATGGAATTGACACTGAATGAGAGATCAGGCCGCGTAATGGTCAAATATTGTAGGGCTTCGACAAGAGACCGAAAAAGGGTGGGATCCGAAAATAGCTTCCCTTCGGTGGAGAGATATTGACTAACTACAAAAGGAGTGGTAATGGGTTTGGCCTCAACCATGTCGGCATGTTGTAATAGATCAAGAGCATACTTGGTTTGGCTAAGAAATAAGCCTTGAGAGTTATGTTAGACTTCGACACTAAGGACTTAGTGAAGAGAACTCAAATCTTTCATAGCAAATTCTTTGTACAGCCGTGTGATAAGAGTCTTGATCAAAACAGGATTGTTGCTAGTAAGCATCATATCATCAACATAAAGTAGGAGATAAATTGTCTGTCGTGGTATGATGGACAAATAGAGAGGAATCAGTCTGACTGAGAAGAAAACCAAGTTTCATCAAAAAAGAGTTGAAGCGTTGGAAATTAAGCACGAGGGGCTTATTTGAGTCCATAAAGGGCACGCTTCAAACGACACACATGTTGAGGAAACTGCAGATCAGTGTAGCCAGGTGGTTGATCCATGTACACTTCTTCAGAATATGACCATGAAAAAGGACATTCTTAACATCTAATTGATGTAAGTGCCATCTAGAAGTGACTGCAATGGATAGGATAATCTGACCAGTAGCAGGACATACCACAGGGCTGGATGTATCTTCAAAATCAAGGCCATGAATCTGAGAGAAGCCCTTATAGCCACAAGACGAGCCTTATGACACTCAATGGAACCATCAGCATGGAGCTTGGTCTTAAAGATCCAACGACAATCAACAACATCATGATTTATAGGGCGAGGTACAAGATCCCAAGTATCATTCTTCTTCAAAGCTTGGATTTCACCATCCATTGCCGAGAGCCATTCAGGGTGTTTGGCAGCAGATTTGAAACCCTAAGGCTCTTGTATGTCAAGAAGGACCAGAAAAAACTGAGAAAAAGGTGAAATCGTCAACGCATGATAGGTCATAGGTTTAAATATACCAGCTTTTCTTCTAGTAACCATTGGGTGAGTGTTGGTAAAAGTCGTCGGTATGGAAACAAATGGTCTGGGATAAGGGACGGTAGACACAACAAGAGATGTCTGGGGGAAGGATTCACCAAGATCATCACTGCATGGTAAACAAATAGGATTCGAAATAGGAGAAGACAACAAGAAGTCCAGAGAGTCAGAAGACACATTATTATTAGACTCCAAATAATCAGATAAAGTAATATAAGGTGCTAAACTATGAAGTTGTCGTATATCATCACCTGCATAAAGGAAGATAGTTTCATAAAATTGGACATGTCGAGAGACATAAAGACGTTGTGTCTTGCGGGCAAAACAGCGAAATCCCTTGTGAAGGGGGCTATAACCTAAAAAGACACAAGAAGAGATTTTGGGAGATAATTTGTTTGGAGCATAATCTCGCAAATAAGGAAAACATAAACATCCAAAAGTACAAAGCATAGAGTATTTGGGTTGTTTACCAAACAGAAGCTCATAGGGAGTTTTGCCATCAAGAGTTTGCAAGGGGAGTCGATTGATGAGGTAAACAGCTGTCGAAAAGGCCTCAACCCAAAGAGGCAACAGAACACATGCATGAAACATAATGGTGAGACCCGTTTCAGTGACATGTTAGTGTTTATGTTCAGCAATCCCATTTTGACTTGGTGCGTAATGGCAAGTAATGCACAACACAATACCTCGAGATGTGAGGTGAGAGCAAAATTTATTATTTGTAAATTCAGTTCCACCATCACATTGGAAGGACTTAATTTTGAAAGAAAATTGAGTCTCAATATAACGTTGAAAATTAACAAAGGTATCAAAAAAATCAAATTTGTGTTTTAATGAGAAAAACCAATTGAATCCGGTACAATCATCAATTAACATTGCATAATACCGAAAACCAGTAATGGAACAGACAAGTGAAGGGGCCCATCAATCACAGTGTAAGCGGTCAAAAGGCAAAGCACAACGATCATTATTAAGTGAAAAGGGTAAACGATGGCTCTTGCCAAGATTTCATGCAACACATAAACTTGAATCTAAACCCATCAATTTATCACTACAGGAAATAAAACCAGACTTGGAAAGAGAGTCAACAGTATGAAAGCTAGGGTGACCTAGACGAGCATGTCACAGATGAACAGAGGCACTCGACTTATTGGAAGAAACGACCAAAGCAAGGGCATGATGATTTTGATCGAGCACGTACATGCCATTCTCACATCTGTCGACCCTAAGCACTCCTCTTGTAACCCGATCCTGTATGCTAAAACCAGAAGGAGAAAAAGTGACACAACAGTTATTATCTTTTGTAAGTTGACTGATGGAAATAAGCTTTTTCTGAATGTCAAGAACAACTAAAACATTGGGTAAAAGTAGTGAGCTGTTTGGAACAAGAGTAGAAACGAAACCAGTGTGAGAAATAGAAAGTGACTGACCATTACCAACCATCACCCTTTCATTACCAGAGTAGATAGCAGGAACATCTACACCCTCGGGATCATTTGTCATGTGAGAGGTTGCACCAAAGTTCGGATACCAATCAAAGTCGTTGGAGTCCGGAATCGAACAAGCAGCAAAAGCCTCATCAAGGTTGGTAGACTGTTTTTTCTTGAGATTAAGAAATGTCCAACAGTGTTTAGCCAAGTGTCCCTCCTTGTCACAGAGTTGACAATAAACTAGAGAAGAATTGGACGATTTTGAGGCAAAGTCAAATGAAGGTTTTGGCTTCCCTTTCTTGGTGTTTTTTGGTCTAGTGGAAGAATTCCACTGAGCGTAGAACGCTGAGTTGGTAGATTGTTGATACACTAATCTTTCAAAAATCTCATGGCTCAAAGCTTTCGGAATGATATCTGCAAAAGAAGGTAAAGGAAGCTGAACATTTTGAGCGACAAATTTTGAGCCTCTCTGCATCTGTTGAAGCTCGTCCTTGAGTTGGAGTTCTCGAGTTTTGGATCTGTGAGAGAAAAAGGTTTCAAGAGTAGTCCAAGCCTCATGTGCATGACTCAGACCAAGTACCTCACTCATAGACTCCTTCGTAAGAGAAGAATAGAGAAGACTTTGGAGAGTCTGATCTGTATTCAACCAAGAAGTGTAGGCTAGATTCACCTGGGTGGTGCCATCAGAGCCAATAACCTTTGGAGAACGAGTTGGGACACTACCATCCAGAAATCCAAGAAGATCTTAACTAGTCAACAGAGGGATAAATTGATTTCTACATAACAAATAATTGGAGGAGGTCAGTTTGATGGTGAGCATATGCACCATCATGTTCAGCGGAAGTGAAGGTGATGAGGACGAGGCAGCCATGGAAAGGATCATAAAAAATTAAAAAGGCTCTGATACCATGTGAAAGTTTAAAGACCCATGTAGAATATGGCTAGAATCCTCGAACAATTTTGAGGTGACTAATTCTCATTATATAGAATGTATATATAGTGGGAAGATTCTATATAACGGGAAACAGATAAACGTAATTGATACTTATCCTATAAACTAGAAAAGATATATACATAATAACAAATCATCTATAAGATCAAGGAAAGAATCGGAAGAGGATTCATCCTTATCAATAAATATAGTATTGAGAGTGTTAACGGCCACCCCCCATTACATTAAAGAAGATGAAAGCTCAGTTTGAAGAGGTCAAAAAGGCTTTCTTAACTAACTATGGTGTTAATCTTGGTACCATACCGAAATCTATTGGAGATCAAGTTATGACTAAAAACAAGTAGAGTTGTGATTAATTTTGGAATGATAGGATTAGTTTCAAACAATCTCATTTCATCATAATGTCATTAGATTTAATCATAATTTTACCCTTATTTTGTAAAAAAAACTTTCGTACAGTACTGCAAAGTAGTTTTATCCTTAAAAAGATGGTGGTTCAACGCTTAAACTGAGCAAAAAATCTTCATTGAGATGTCTTTTGAGAGATGACAGGAGACAGTGGGTCTAAGGATGCTATGGAAAAGATTGTATGGATAGATACCTGTCTGTTGAATTGTGGGCTATATTGAAGGGTCTCCAACTGGTTCAAAAGGATGGACTCGAGAAAGTCATCTTGGAGTTTCACTCAAAAATCTTCTTTACATACACAATTATCAGTCTAATCCTTTGTACCAAACGAGTGCGGGCCTGCGGCAAGGAGTAGGAAGCTGTTAGCTTTATCACAGAGCCTTCCAACACCGAATCTTCCCCTAGTTTTGATAGAGGGTTTGAAATTGGTGTTATACATGATGAAGATTCCTCAGTTCACTTGCTCGGATAAGGTAACATGTGTGCCTACACTATCGCAAACTTGGGTGGTTTGATTGTTGTAATTGGAATTAAGAGGAACTTTGATCAGATTTGGAGGAACGTGGTTTGCCAATTCCATTTCTAAGAATGACAATACCTTACTCTCCTTTGACACCTCCCAGCTGAGACGTCTCCCTTAAGCTATTCCCTTATCATAGTCAGGCCAAAACCTTTAACCAAACAACATCAATACTTGTACACAAGTTGAACACATAGAAGTATTACTATTATTGGATTTTGACAATGAACCCCGTTTACTGTTGAGACCAACTCTTGGTCCAATAAAAACAGTGCATTAAATTTGCAGATTAGATTCTGATAGCATTGTTGTAAACCAATTCAACCATGCTCAAGCTATGTACAGCCAACAGTAACGGGTTGAACACCAAACAGCCTTTCAGGTTTGTCTTCGACTGCTCTGTCAATGAAGTTCCTCCATGAATGAGGTCAATTAAAAAGCCGGTATGTGTTAACTCAAACACTACAGGTGGGGTGGTCAAATTTCCTCACATTCTCTTATTTCTTTTCTTTTTTTGGTTTAACAATAAATGTGTCCGGGTAAGTTTATATGTCAAAATTAAAATATTCATGAAGATTTGATATAATTGTGTCATTTTTTCATGAAAATGAAAAAAAATAAAAAATTATGAGAAATATTTAGATAAAAATATCTTAGCATAAATAAAGTTTTCAGTAAATAGATAAATATGAGGTGAGCAAGCCGAGGGCTACATGACTTTGCAGCCACTACAAGCTCTTACAATCCTCCGGTCAAAAAAAAGCTCATACAAGCACACAGACACACTTCTAAACTTTCTCCCATTTTCCTCCCTCTCTTTTTCCCTTTTCCACACACCGCTCCTCCAAAAAAACCCAATTCCACTCTTTCACCCTCATTTCACTTTTCAAGAAAAAAACAAAAAACAAAAAACAAAAAAACAAAAAGAAAAAAGTTACTTAATTTGACCAAAAGGATCTCAAACTCTGAAATTTTTCCCAGAGAAAGTTTGACCAAACTGCCAGTTAGAAGGTACGATGTTCCATGAAGTGGAAGAGCGATGGTCACTGCCTTTAACCCTGAAAGAGAGTGACTGACCAACCAGCACTGCGTTTGACTGCCAATTTTGACCCCAATTGCGACTCATGCTCATCCAATTTGTTTTCGACCCTTTGATCCACACCTGCACGATATCCCCTGCACCCGCGACGTTGGTGATCAAAACCAAGTTGAAGTATCGAAAGCCGTTGATTGTGAATCTGATTCCTCCTCGCTTCTTACATGGCACCCTGAAAAGACAAAATTGTAAATTCATTATTATAATAGTAAAAAACTATTAACCATGGGATTAGAAACTGATAAAAAATGATTACCGGCGGTAAGAGACGGGGACAATGCCGGCGCGGTACTCGGCGATCTTGAGGAACATGGGCATGGCAAGGTCGAAGTGAGGGCGAGGAGGGTTGCACCACCCGCCATTGTCGTTGGGTAATGCGTAGTTTGGTGGGCAGAAGTTGGTGGCAGTGACGAAAATGGAGGGACTACCAGGGTGGCACCACTGTGGGTCACTGTCACACTTGATCTCAAAACACGACCCACAGCTGAAACCATTGTTGAACAGAACTGTGCTTAGCGCCGCCGTGTTCACTCCGTAGCCTTGGCTGTATAAGTTTCCATACCCACAAGCTCCACCTGTAGAGAGAGAGAGAGAGAGAGAGAGAGAGAGAGAGAGAGCTGTTAATACAGTTCATAGTTTCTATACAGTTCATAGTCCCTAATTCTTTCTAAGAAAATGCAGAAACAGAGAACAGAGGGAGTGAAGAGAAAAGAAGAAAGAACAAATTAAAAGTAATGCAATGCAAATTCTTTAAAGTTTAATCATTCAATGACTTTAAAGCAAGAACAAGAAACCAACATGGGAAATGTGGAATTCATAGAGAAGTTGAAAGGTTTGATTGCATTGGGAGAGTGTTTGAGCAATTAGTTTTGTAAAATCTCATGAAACAGGGGAGAGAGAGTGTGACTCTTGAACCGAAACAAAAGTTGAAGAGGGGTCAATGGGTTTAGCTTAAAAATTTTAAACATACCCATAGTTCCAGAGGCGTCACTTCCACCGTAGAACGTAGCATGAGCGCTTTGCCACGCCCCACCGGTGTAAACACCTGGAATTCTAGCGTCAACTATTGTCAAAAACAAACTCAAGGTGACAATGCAGGAAAGTCTTACAACAGCCATTGACAGAGAGAGAGAGAGAGAGAGAGAGAGAGAGAGAGAGAGAGACTTGGGACTTGGAAGTTGGTGAGTCTGAAGAGAATGCAGAGGGTGAGCCACTACTTATTGGGGGCAGAGAGGAGAGAGAAAGGGAAGGAGAAAATCAGGAGACATACCTAATTACTGATGTTTGGTGAGTCCTGCTTAGTTTAAAGCACAAATGGCGGAAACCAAACCCCCAAAATCCCTATATATTTAATAATTTAACGTAATTACCCTTGGGTTTTGCCATTTCCACTCGAACCCACTTGGGGATTTTTGGGAAAGTAAGGGGTATCAAATGGAATAAAGTGGGATTATGAAGTTTGATTGAAAAAGGGAGTGGTCAGGGCCACAGTCCAGAGGGGTGGATATGAAACCGTTTTGCCGCTTTGCTTGAATTGCAAGTTGTGGCATCAACTACACTGGTGGCCTCTTTTCAGTTTTCAAGAATTTTGGTCCAATTACATTTATCGGACAGCAATGCTACAATTTAAAAAATTAACTTAAAAATTTGAGTTAATGAGACGGTTGTTATATTTATTATTAATTTAACTATAGATCTTAATATTTATTGAAACTCATTATCTATTTAATGATAGTGATTCATCGAGTCAAAATTTTAAATTTATTTAGCATTTTCTTTTATCGAAAAGTGGTAATATAAATGAGCTGCAAATTCAGACGTTTTGAATTTGAATTTTGGCAACTCCTTGGAATTTAGTCACGAAAGATTTATCCTCCATGAATACAGTAGTTCCGACGTAAATGACCTATTTTTAAGTGGACCGAAGAGGAGATTAGTCTAAATACGTGTAAACTGATCCAAACATTCATGACCGTTGAATACTTGAACCCAACAAAAAAATAAATTTTTGTTACTAGACCTCTACTTCTTACCCACTAAAAACGTATAACGTATAATTTTTTTAGATTTATTAATTTATCATGTCGTAAATCATTCAAACTAAAATCAACCTAATTTTGGCTGGTTGCTTCTGTAGCTTTATCCCAAGAATTTCCTTTCAATTAGGCTTTTCCTTTTCTCTTTTCTTTATTTGGGGGGGCTGCTTTTACCAAAATTGTCCATCCTATGCAAGAAAAGTGGTCATTTTCATTGTTTAAGAAGGATGCAGCTTGATAATGAAGTATAATTAAGGCTGCTTCTTTGATAATGACCTTTCATTTTCTCCGAGCAGAGGAGGGGAATGGAGAACAGAGTAGTACCTAGTTTGTAGGGTCTGTATATGTTGGTATTGGATTGAAAGCAACATCTTTGCAGCTTTGCTTCCTTTTGTAAAGTGCCAAATGGCCAATGACAAATTGTTTTGATATTTATTGACATAAAGGAAACAAAAGGATTAGA